AGGACACAAGGAACATTCTGACTGAGGGAAGAATTTTTATGAACTCTTCATCTAAGAAGCATACCAATGAGCCACCCATCCACTCCTCCACACATCCGTCCATCTATCCATTCATTCATTCAACAAATGTTTGCTGAGCACCTATTACGTGCCAAGTTTTATGCTGAGTGCTGGGCATACAAGCCTTAAAAAGGACATACCTAGTCCTGACCCCACGGATTTCCCCTATGTAATGGGAAAAACAAAGAAGGATGTAAGCAACTCAAAATATAAATAAACTGATTACAGAGTACAAGTTCTTTGCAGGATTCATATCCTGTGATCCTTAGTTTACTTTTTATTAAATTTAAAAATGCTTTTGCCTGTCATCCCAGCACTTTGGGAGGCCGAGGCGGGTGGATCACGAGGTCGGGAGATCAAGACCATCCTGGCTAACACGGTGAAACCCCGTCTCTACTAAAAATAGAAAAAATTAGCCGGGCATGGTGGTGGGCACCTGTAGTCCCAGCTACTCGGGAGGCTGAGGCAGGAGAATGGCATGAACCCGGGAGGCAGAGCTTGCAGTGAGCTGAGATCGCGCCACTGCACTCCAGCCTAGGCAACAGAGCAGACTCCGTCTCAAAAAAAAAAAAAAAAAAATGCTTTTGTTCATCCCCGTCTCCATTTCTGCCAGTAAAATTGAGCTCCAGGAACCAACATTTTTGTTATAATATCAAACAGTGACATTCCAGGGCCTGGCCTTACAACGTAAAAGGCTTCACAATTAACAGAGGAAGTCTCAAAAGACGATGAAGAGGAGAGTTCCTCTCCCCTGTAGTGACCATGGGGCAGATATCTTCCTGCTTCACAAAATGAGCTTCAAAGAATTCGATTTGATAAGATGCAAAATTGAGAACATTCTTAGGAACGTGCAGTTTCATTTTTCAGTGCCATATGGAGGTGTGTGTGAATATCTATAATTCTTAAGCAACTGGACTTGAAAGTACACTGTGAGCAAAGGGGTCCTGAGAAATTCCTAAGAGTTTAGAAATTCTTAAGACATTATTTTCATGCCCTGTGAAAATAACGTTCAAAGAGAGTCATGGCATTCTGATTGATTACCTTACCTGACAATGGGCTGCCTGGTAATCATTGCAGTGAGCATCTCCGTGCTATCCAGACAGAAGTAGGTGTGGGAGAGTAGAGTCAACTCAGAAGAGGAGTCACTGACACTTTCTTCTTCTCCCTCGAGACTGATTGGGGGAAAGACCTATGACTCTAGTAGATTCCATATTTTTAATAAAGAGATGGGAAATCTAGCTCTCTAAATAAATCATTTTAATTTGGTGATTAGGGAAGATCATCTCTGATGAGATGACAAAATGCTGAAAAGCTGAGACCCAAAGTTAAGAAATTCATCCTTAAAGAGTAAGAAGAGGTTGGGCACAGTGACTCAAGTCCGTAATCCCAGCATTTGGAAGACTGAGGTGGAAGGATTGCTTGAGCCCAGGAGTTCAAGACCAGCCTGGGCAACATGACAAGACCCTGTCTCTCCAAAAAAAAAAACGGTAAATTAGCCAGGTGGCACACGCCTGTGGTCCCAGCTACTCAGGAGGCTGAGGTGGGAAGATCATTTGAACCCAGGAGGTTGAGGCTGCAGTGAACTGTGACCTCACCACTGCATTCCGACCTACGTGACAGAGTGAGACCCTGTCTTTGATAAATAAATAAATAGCAAAAATAAAATTAAAAAGAGAGAGCAGGAAAAAGAGCATTACAGACACAAGAAACAGCAAGTGCACTCCAGCCTGGGTCACAGAATGAGATCCTGTCCCAGAAACAAAAAAGAAAAACAGCAAGTGCAAAAGCCTGAGACAGGCGTTAGCTCTTGAGCATTGGAGACACCTAACAAAGACAGCAGAAGTGGAACACAAGGAGGAAGCACGCGGAGATGAGGTGGAGCGGTCCATGGTGGTCAGCACTCAAGGCTTTGTGGAGCATGCATTTTATTCTTCTGGTGATGAGAGCAAATAGATGGCTTCAAGCCAGAGAATGAGCTTTCACAAAGCAGGCTTAGTCGTGCAGAAAGATCAGAACGCAGGATTGGTCACTGTTGGAGCTGACTTTTCATTCTGCATGCACACTGTGGCTCAGCATAGGAGTTACCTTTTGACTTCTCATAAAATTACCTGCACTTTGTAAATAATCTGACTCCCCTGGTCCAACAGAAGCAGAAAGAAAAAGTTTAAAGCCAAAATGATACAAAACAAAAAAGAACCTGCTTATCCCTGAGAGCATGAGCATGAGGGACATGTTGTCTACTGCCAGCATGGAGTGGGAAATGAGTTTAGAGTTGGCCATCCACAGGGGGGATTTGTGGTTCCTTGAAACTGTCAAATAAATCACCCATATTTAGTCACTGTAATATTGTTTGGGTATTACCTTCAACGGATTTGTCTGACGCTCCAGGCCTCTTATTTCCCCATCTGTCAAAGTCCCACTCACCATTACACACCCAGCTGAATGGCTAAAGTGGAAGGAACTGACACCACCAAACACTGGCAGGGATGAGGAGGAACTGGAATGCTCATCTATTGTGAGTGGAAGTACAAAATGGTACAACCATTTTGGAAATTTTGTAGCAGTTTATTAAAAAGTTAAACATATTTGTCATGTGGCCCATTAATCCTACCCTCAGAAATTTACCTAAAAGAAATGAAAACATATCTTCAAAAAATCTTGTGCAAGAATGTTCATAGCTGCTCTACTCGTTATAGGCAAAATCTGCAAATATCTCAGATGTCCATCAACAGGAGAACAGATAAACTGAGGTATATTCATAGTATTCAGCAATACAAAAAAGAAATGAATGGTCTAGCATGATGGCTCAAGCTTGTAGTCCCAACACTTTGGGAGTCCAAGGCAGAAGGATTGCTTGAGCCCAGGAACTCAGGACCAGCATGGGCAACATGGTGAAACCCTGTCTCTACCAAAAAAATGCAAAAACTAGCCAGACATGGTGGCCTGTGCCTGTAGTCTCAGCTATTTTGGAGGCTGAGGTGAGAAAATGGCTTGAGCCAGGGAGGTTGAGGCTACAGTGAGCTGAGATTGTGTCACCGAACTCCAGCGTGGGCGACAGAGTGAGATCCTGTCTCAAAAAAAAAAAAAAAAAAAAAAGAGCGGGGAGGGGAATGAGCTATTGACCTATGTTACAGCATGAAGAAATATCGAAAGCATTATGCTGGATTAAAAAAAAACAAATGGAAAGGGCACATGCTGTGTATGACTTCATTTACAAAAAGTTGTTGAAAAAGAAAAACTAACTTAACAGTAATAGAAATCAGATCAGCAGTTGCTTTTGGGAATGAAGGAGTTACCTGGCACAATGAAGTTTTCTGTGGTGGTGGTGGTGATGCCTTGTTTCTTAATAGAGATATGGGTTGCACAAGTGTATGCCTTTATCAAACTGATGCAACTGTGTACTTCACATTAAGAATTTCACTGAATATAAAAGATAATTTAACAATTAACTCAAGATAGATTAAAGACTTAAATGTAAAACCCAAAACTATAAAAACCCTGGAAGACAACCTAGGCAATACCATTCAGGACATAGGAATGGTAAAAAAGACTTTATGACAAAGATGCCAAAAGCAACTGCAACAAAAGCAAAATTTGACAAATGGGATCTAATTAAACTAAAGAGCTTCTGCAAAGCAAAAGAAACTATCAACAGAGTAAACAGAAAACCAACAGGATGGGAGAAAATTTTTGCAAACTATGCATCTGACAAAGGCCTAATATTCAGCATCTATAAGGAACTTAACCCAATTTACATGAAATAAACAACCCCATTAAAAAGTGGGTAAAGGACATGAACAGACACTTTTCAAAAGAGGACATACATGTGGCCAACAAGCATATGAAAACAAAAAAGCTCAACATCACTGATCATTAGAGAAATGTAATCAAAACCACAGTGAGATACCATCTCACACCAGTCAGAATAGCTATTATTACAAAGTCAAAAAATAACAGGTGCTAGGGAGGCTGCCGAGAAAAAGGAATGCTTATACACTGCTGGTGGGAGTGTAAATTAGTTCAACCATTGTGGAAAACAGTGTGGCGATTCCTCAAAGACCTAAGAACAGAACTACCATTCAACCTAGCAATCCTATTACTGGGTAGATACCCAAAAGAATACAAAGTTTTCTATCATAAAGTCACATGCACACATATGTTCCCTGCAGCACTATTCACAGTAGCAAAGACATGGAATCAACCTAAATGCCCAACAATAATAGACTGGATAAAGAAAATACGGTATGTATACTCCATGGAATACTATGCAGCCATAAAAAATGAGATCATATCCTCTGCAGGAACATGAATGGAGCTGGAGGCCACTACCCTTAGCAAACCAGTCCAGGAACAGAAAACAAAATACTGCATGTTCTCACTTCTAGGTGGGAACTAAATGATGAGAACACATGGACATATAGAGGGAAACAACACACATTAGGGCCTATCAGAGAGTGAGAAAAGGGAGAGGGTCAGGAAGAATAACTAATGGATACCAGGCTTAATACCTGGGAGGTGAAATAATCTGTACAACAAACCCCCATGGCACGAGTTAACCATATAACAAACCTGCATGTGTGCCCTTCAACTTAAAATAGAAGTTTAAAAAAAAAAAAAGAATTTCCTTGAATATAAAGGGTGTCTCATTTTTAATGTAAAAATAAATAAGATTCTATTACCCTGGGCAGTCTTCTCTACCTTTTTGGTGTAGAACTACATCTCAGAGTTACTACACAAGGGGAGGTAGCTGGGGTATTTATATACCAACTCCTATTAGTCATTGGATGAGGGCTGCTGGAATGGAGGTGTAATTCCCCAGCACCTCCAGCTGGCCATGAGTACCAGCAGAGCAAGCCCAGTGGGCAAAGAGAGCTCCTTTAGGAAAAAAAAAATTGCAGAAATGTGGGAGTCAGGCTGGCATGCATGAAACTGGCACCTACCAGGGTAATATGGGTGGGACCCCAACAGCATCCACCGCAGGCCCTGTTGTGTCTGCTCCTATAGCCTCCTGCGTGTATAATTGTGCCCTAAAAGAGAAACAGCAATTAGAAGCTTGGGTTACAGAATTAGGCAGACCAAACCTCAGATTTCAGCTCTGTCACTTTCTAACTGACATGTTGAGTAAATGGTGCTTCTTCCGAAAAATGGGGTTGATGCATTGTTGAGGACATTCAGTGAGATAATCTCTGTTCTGGGCATACCATAGCACATAATATGAACTCTTATTATGGCACGTCAGAGAAACTCCCATAAACACTAAGAGCAACAATTGTTTTTTTCTACTATGTTCACTCTATTTTCCAAAAAACAGTCAAACTCAAAATTCTTTCATGAAAGATTTTCTCCCTTACATTATTTTGAAAATTTAATTGTTGGAAAGATAATACATTTACAAAGTTTGAAATCCAAAAATTATTAAAGGATACACTGAAAAGGCTTTCTCCTTTGACACGCCAGCCACCCAGTTGCCCTCCCCACAAGCAAATGAGATTATCAGTATGTTTGTGTATTTTTCCAAAGGTATTTGCAGATGGTAGTCTAAAATATTCTAGGTCTGCTTCTGTTTATCTACGGCTGAATCTAGTACATGATTCAGTGTTTGGTTTGGCATGAATAATATATGCACGTTTTATTTTGAAAGCATGTTAGATTTACGGAAGAGTAGCAGAGGTGATACAAAGAGTTCTTGGACATCCTTCACCCAGCATCCCCCAGTGCTACTAGTTTACATAACCACAGTGCATTTATCAAAACCAAGATGGTGATGTCGGTACCCTGCAATTAACAATACTACAGATTGTATTCAGACTTTACCAGTTTTTTCATTAAAGTGGATCTAATCCGGGATGGTGTGTTGCATGTGTCTTGGCATCCCTTTAGGGCACCAAGGTACCCAGTGCTCCACATTTAAGAATTGCTAGCACAGAGGAGCATGGAGCACTTTATTGGTGTCACTACCACAGTGGGACTGGAAATTCAGGTCACCACCACCCCTACTGTGTGTCCTTGGAAACTCACCTTTCCTCTTTGGGCTTTAGTCTCCCATTCAGTACAATGCAGCAGTGAAACCGTATTAGCCTTTCTGAACTTGTGTGGTCAAAGCCACGTGATGAACTCCACACACTCTAACACCTCTTAGACATCCCAATGTTCATTAGCATGTTAAAGGCTCTGATAAGCCCTGCAACAAAACACCTGTTTTAATATCACTTAACTCAGCATTGCTCAGGCACATTGGATTAGGGAGGCAATTTTTACCCTCCATATTTATCTACAGAAGTGTGTTCTTCTGTAGAACCTTTGGGGCATGATGGACTAAATGGAAATAAAGCCTGTTAACAGAGCCTCAGTCTGATGGGGATCCAAGAGCAAGCACACTGCCTAGAGAAGGCTGGTCATGAAAATTTGGAAGGAGAGACACAAAGGGGAAGGCTGGCCAACCACTTGGCTGACTTTCCCTTGGCTTCCCAGCTCTCCTTAGCCAGCCCAGATCCTGGACATTGTGGAAACCCTACAGAGCTGCATGTGGCAACCTCTTTGGAAGAAAACTTAGCAATGTACCTCAAATTGTCAGTGCACATGCTCTTGAGCTCAGTGATAATGTATCTAGATGCATCCGCACCTGAGCACGGAGGGGTCTGTGCAGGCTAATCGCAGCCTCATGGCTTGAGGTGGCAAAAGACTGAAAATAATGGAATGTCCCATCATACAGGACTGATTATAGAAACGGTGGTCCATGCAGGCAGTGGAATTCCACACAGCCATTAAGAAAGAGAGAGAGAGAGAGAGAGTGTGTGTGTGTGTGTGTGTATACATGCTCACATGCACCTCACATATACTCAGTCACAATGTATGGCCCATCTCAAGAAGGATAACATGACACTGGGAACCGTGGTTACCCCCAAATAGAACTGAAAGACCTGGAGACAGAAGAGGAAGAACTTGATTTTTCACTGACTACTCCTCTGTACCTTCCTAGTTTTGTACCTTGCATGCATTGCTTACTTAATGAATTAAAATAATAATTTTGAAAAAATGAGACATGGTTTAATTTATCTTAAAATGGAATACTGTACTAAATGCAGTTGTTTAAAAAGAAGGGAAAAAAAGAAAGAATGGGGAAGCTGTTTGTGTACCGAAATGAAAATATCTACACGTTTCAGTGAAAAAAAGCAAAATGTAGAAATATATATAGATTATATTATTCTTGAGTCTAAAGGGGTTTAAAATAAGATTATAGATATATTTTCTTGGATATATGTATATATGTAAAAAATTCTGGAAGGATATTAAAAAGCTAATATAATCATATGAAAATAATCATAGTTATGGGGGGCTGGCGTGGAAGCAGGAAATGTTTCACTCTATTCCTTCAAATATATTCAGATATATTACACCTTTATATATTTTATTATATGTATTTGAACAATGAGTATATTACCCTTTCAAAGTTACATAAATATGAATGCAGGAAATCTATATGGACAGATGCATAACAATTTTCCATATATAGGCAAACAGAAAAAGCAAGTTTACAGAATAGTATGTACAGTATCACTTGTCTACCAAAAAATGTATGTGTGTATGTGTGTATGTGTTTATATACATTTATATACATACATATATATACATTTATATACACACACACACAATTGAAAGCACACACTCTTCCTCGAAGAATTCAGAAAAAACTGCTAACAATGACTTCCCCTTTTGAGGGTACCTGGAGACAGACAGGGATTATTCACCCTGAAAAACTAGTTGAACGTTTACCACGTGTGTAAAATTTTTTTAATGTTTTAAAAACATCTGTGAAATAATGATCACCGTAACAAAGTTTTTTGAGCAAAAATGTAGAAATAAATGTTTCTCCTTTGGGAATGAGAGGTATAAATTTCAGCCTATCCATACTCTAGAATCCTCTTCAGATATTAAAATATTTGAAAAAGTAAATGTCAGCCAGGTGTGGTGGCTCACACCTGTAATCCCAGCACTTTGGGAGGCTGAGGTGGGAGGATCACTTAAGCCCAGGAGTTCAAGACCAGACTGGCCAACATAGCAAGGCCTCATCTCTACAAAAAAATAGAAAAAAATGGCCTGTAGCCCTAGCTACTCAGGAGGTGGGAGGATCATATGTGCCCAGGAGTTTGAGGCTGTAGTGAGCCATGTTGCACCACTGCACTCCAGCATGGGTGACACAGCAAGATCCTGGCTCAAAAAAAACAAAAACAAAAACAAACAAACAAAAAAACTAAATGTATATTTATTTATGCTGACCTGAAAAGAAACAATGTATTATTAAACAATGTGTTATTGGGAAACAACGTATTATTATGAAACAAAGTATTATTAAGTAAAATTTCAGAACCAAAAATATGATATTTCCCAATTTTTGCAGTAAAGCCTCTATGTACTTGTGTGTACACATGCATATATATTGTATTATATAAACAATATGTAGAAGATTCAAATCCTGACTCTCTTGCCTATTAGCTGTGTGATCTTGAGCTAGTTACTAAAAATTTGGGGGCCTTGGTTTCCTCACTTGTAAAATGGATGCAACTATTCTACCAGCCTTGAATTAACTTATGTGATTCTTGTAACAACTTAGAGCAACAGTCCTTAACCTTTTGGCACCCGAGACCAAGTTTATGGAAGAATTTTCCATGGATGGTGAGAGTGGGGATGGTTTCAGAATGATTCAAATGTGTTTTTGCCGGGCGCGGTGGCTCAAGCCTGTAATCCCAGCACTTTGGGAGGCCGTGGCTCGGCCTGTAATCCCAGCACTTTGGGAGGCAGAGACGGGCGGATCACGAGGTCAGGAGATCGAGACCATCCTGGCTAACACGGTGAAACCCGTCTCTACTAAAAACACAAAAACTAGCCGGGCGAGGCATGGCGCCTGTAGTCTCGCTACTCGGGAGGCTGAGGCAGGAGAATGGCGTAAACCTGAGAGGCGGAGCTTGCAGTGAGCTGAGATCCGGCCACTGCACTCCAGTCCGGGCGACAGAGCAAGACTCCGTCTCAAAAAAAAAAAAAAAAAAAAAAATGTGTTTCATTTATTGTAGTAATTTTATTTCCATTATATTATATTATATTATATTATATTATATTATAATACATAATGCAATAATTATCCAACTCATCATAATGTAGAATCAATGGAAGCCCTGAGCCTGTTTTCCTGCAATTAGACAGTCCCATCTGGGGGTGATGGGAGATAGTGGCAGATCATCAGGCATTAGATTTTCATAAGGAGCATGCAACCTAGAATTCTCACATGCGCAGTTCACAATAGGATTTGCTCTCTTATAAGAATCTAATACCACCGTTGATCTGATAGGAGGCAGAGCTCAGGCAGTAATGAGAGTAATGGGGGATGGCTGCATATATAGCTGAATCTCCACTGGCTTGCCCCACAGCTTACCTCCTCCTGTGCAGCCCAGTTCTTAACAGGCCATGGACCAGTACTGGTCCACTTTCACACTGCTGTAAAAGAATACTTGAGACTGGGTAATTTATAAAGAAGTTTAACTGACTCACAGTTCCACATGGCTGAGGAGGCCTCAGGAGACTTACTATCATTGCAGAAGGGGAAGCAGTCACCTTCAAAGTGAAGGGGGAAGACCCCTTTATAAAATCGTTAGAACTTGTGAGAACTCACTCACTATCACAAGAACAGCATAGGGGAAATCACCCCTATGATCCAATCACCTCCCTCTCTTCATACACGGGGATTTTCCATTCAAGATGAGATTTGGGTGAAGACACAGAGCCAAACTGTATCAATCAGGAAATTGCTAACGTGTTTGATGTGCATTACAGAGACAGGGAGCTGGTGGTGTTCACTGGCACACTCTACACTGATTACCCTAGAATATGGGATTTGAGTGGGCCAGGAAGAACCAACACCTTCTATTTTATATACTGCTATATTGTTTGTTTGGTTTTGGTTTGTTTTTACAACAAGGATGCATTATTTTACAATTAAGCTAGAAGAAATAATACGAGAAAACAAATTAGTTGC